TTTTTCTGTTTTCAATTTTACGATTTTTTCCTTTAAATATACTAAATAAATCTGAAAATCACAAAAAAAATCTCCATATCTCCATTTCTTCAAAAAAAAAGCTGTCGCAAGTAGTCGGATACCTTAAGTGAACAGTATTAGCATACGTTGTCAAATACTCGCACAATCGGTAACCCGAAACAAAGAATTGTGCATGAGTCACAATCTTACAAACTTAGGCACATGCGAAATGTATCGTTTCGATTCAATGAGAATGGCATGTGGTGTCAGGCCTAAATCTAGACATGGACCACAGACGTGACATAATAATGCAGTCTTGGCACTGATGCCAGTTGGCATGTAGTACGAAATTCCCAGTTTTTCGGAGAATATGTCCGGGAATAACTTTTGAGGATAAAAAAATTACAATGACGGTTTTCTTGCAGCCGAGTTGAGAACGAGATGAGACCTTGAACCTAGTTAACCCATGCTTTAAAACGTCCCTACCAGGTCCCCTTATTTATACCAGAAACCTTATTTTAAAACTAGAACTGTTTTTATTTTTAAAAATATTACACATTTTTTATTTTTAAAAAAATCTTCACATACATGAATATACTCTGGTATTCAAAGTTAAGAGACTTGCATATTTAGTAAAATTTTCAGTACAGAATGAAAAGCAAGACTAACCTACCAAACAAAGAAGCAAATTTTTCGTGTCGATTACGAAACCTTATATGTGTGAGTTGTAATTTTAAAAGAAAATGCTTTGTAAGCATGCGTTACCAATTCCTGCGCCGTCAATTTTAAGCTTGTTTGTTTACAACGTTCTATAAAATTCACAAGCAAAAAATTAAAATAAGTGATCGCCAATGTTTTGAGATAATGGAATGAGAGGGTGACTCAACGGGCAATTTGCGGCATGCAGACTCAAATTATTAGAGATTGATGTAATGCCCAGCATTATGTACAACGTATTGAGGTAGTTTAATGAAACCGCAACCATAGAGGGGGAGATTTGAGCAAGTACAAGAGCCCTGACGACCAATGAAGATCGATATTGTTCCATTATAGCGAGTTCTTCAGAAAATCAAGAGGTTTTACAGCTGCCAATGGTAATTGTATTCAGAAAGTTACATAAGAATGATCTGTTTGCTAAGTGATCTGAATTTTGCGTCTCACTCCATGTTCCACTCTCTCCTGTTGATATGAATCAAAATATGATTGGTCATGGAGATAGACATGCAGATTGGTCATCCACCCACAGATGAGTCCAGATAACGCCTAACCACTGATTCGTGAAGTAACATCATCCGAAAGTGAATTATTCAAAGATCTGCTGCATGTCTTTCAATATCAGAGAAAAAGATCGATATGGCAGCAAAGATTTGATAGTCTGGATAAGAACATCGTGTCGGAGGGGTGCACTGATCCGCTTGTCTTTCATGGATGCACTGTGAGATGTAGAAATGAAATCTTGGAGCCTTATGTGGATTTTTAAGTGTACAGTTATTCGTGATTTCCTTTTCATGAATAGCAACAAAAATGAAAGTACCTAGTCGATGAATTTATGGAAGAAGAGAAACTTCACAGCATGGAGTTTCGCAGCCAGAGCCCTCAAACTATACAGCATATTCGGATGCTCTAAGGAGAAATGTACAAACAGGAAAACAGCGCTACTAGAGGAGTAGACTATAGAGGTTTACTGTTTAACCAGAGCAGTTTAGTATTTCTTTCCAGCATGAATTGAAAAAGTTGCTGTATAACTTTAAAAGAGATCTCTATACTTCATGTTACCTTTTTTTTTTTTCTTTTCGTCTATCTAGTAAACTCGCTACTTTATTACGCTGATGAGATATACACAATCATGTGTGTGTATCTTCAATGTTGTAAGATATTTTCCTTTTGTATCATATCCTACTATGTACAATCCTGATTTCATGAAAATATGTCCAATGCTCCTGGAGATTTTCGACTAAGAAAGAAAATTATCTCCACTTTGAACCACAATATATAACACATTGTAACTTTTTTAAAAATTCTTCTCACTGGTTTAAAAATAACATTTCGTAGACTACATTAAATTAATATGCCAATCATTCATGCGACTTCAAATTAAGACTTTCAAAATATAATTTTTTAAAACTCTTCATATATCAATAGAACTTTTTTTAAATACTAAGCAAAATACTTGCGACAATAAAACGGTTCTAAAAAAACAAAAATTGAACTAGAGGGAAAAAAAGAATTCAAATTATTTGATGTTTTTAGACTTAAATCATAGTTTTCACAGCCTCTTTAAATAATAAAATAAAACTAAGTATCAAGATTGATATGTATTTGATTCCATCAATGAGCGAAAATTGGAAACTTTTACAGACTATAGGTATACTTCCTTAAAATAACCATAACAATTAAATATAAACGTAATCTGCAAAAAATTACACAGCTTTTATGAAATTAATGTGAAAAAATATCCATAATAAAGATCATTATATGCGGTACAATGGGAAGAGGAAGATATCACGTTGTTGCCAGGGGCATCTTAAGACTTCTTGAGACCCTGGCAAAAGTAAGCACAACTTGCGACCTTTTTTAAGTACACAGTACATAGCATACATTGTCAAAATTGGTAGAAACAGTAACTCTTAACAAATAAATGTGTGTCACTCACAATCAGGCCTAAACCAACTCTAACGACTGCTTCCTTTCGACTAAATGATGGTGGAGGGTGGAAGGTCTAGGCCTAAATACGGACGATGGACATGGGACGGTGACCAGTTGACATATAATTCGAAATACTCAGTTTTTCAGAAAAAATATCCGGGAATCACATTTTACAATTAAAATTATTTGGATCGTGTTCGTACTGCCGAGTTCAGAAGGAGACGAGGTTCCCCTACCGAGCCCTGGGCCCAGTTGGTTTTTGCCTTAAAATGTTCCTGGTTATAACTTTCTCATAAGCGGAGTTTAAAAATTCTTACGTGGCGTAATCATTTAAAATTTCCATTCTAGTTACGAATTCAGTAGCCAGAAGTCCAAGATTAATTTTAGAGCATTAATGCAAATCAATCAGCGGCTTTAAAATATAATCGCTGAAAAATATTTGCTGATTTGTGATCATCCTACTTTCTTTTTCTTTTTTTTTTCAAAATGTATTTAACTCAATCTACAATAAAAATAGTAAAATTTTAAAAACATGACAAGAGCATTTTTGTGTGTGCACGCGCGCGTGTTTTTTTTTCTATTACTAAAGGTATCTGTCTAAGTTTCTGAATGAATGCATGACTGAAACTCAAAAACAATTTCTTTATGTTTGCCATTTTGCGTAGAAAAAAAATTGAGCCGCCGTAAAGAAAAAACTTTGTAAGACAGAACGAAGTAGGTCTGTGCTATAAAAGTGGTGAATTTTAAATGTCTGATGTTAAGCTCTATTTTAGTAAAATAAGAATCAAATGTAGATTGATTTTTCTTTTTTTTTGTCAAAGTTACGCTATTTAAAACTCGATACCTCAAAAATTGGTGAATGTGTATTTCTTTTATATTTTGTATATATGTTATTTAAAGTGTGATAAAGGCAATGGAAATTAAGAATTTATATCTAACATTAATCGTATTCTTTATTCAATTCCTACTATTAACTCCCACTTTCTCTATATATTTATTTATTTGTTTATTTATTTATCTTGGTGGAATTTTCAATCGTTAATAAAATAATTTTAAAGCACTCGATTAGGCTCAAATTTAATAGACATGATTATTTTGGATGACAATACAATAATTTAATTATAATTAATAAAAATTAATTGATTTAAAGTAATTATTTAAAGAATTACAAATATAGCCACGTTGGCGGCTTGTGTCAAAACTTGCAAAGGTTTTTTTCTCACGTTTTAAAGCATTCAGTTGAACTGAAGATTTGTATACACGATTGTTTTGGATGACAATATGATACTTTAATCATAATTAATAAAAATTAATTACCACTTAATGTTGTGATACTGTCCTATGTATATACATATTTATATTAACTGTAAATATTTAATAAAAAATAGCTAAAATAAAAATTTTCTTTGTTGATCTAAGTAGGAATTGACTTAAATTTTTTTTATATAATGCTGTGGTTTTTAACAGTTTATTGTTACGAACACCATGCATTTTTATAAAAACTTTTTAGAGAATGTGTAAAGAGCCATAACTGTTTGGTAAATGTAAATAAATTTCAGTTTTTAGTTCATTGCCTTTATAACTGTGTTAAATATGTAGTGTAAAAAATAATTTAAATATATGACTTTGAATTCTATGTAGAGTGTTTTGAAATTCGATACAATTTTCATCAACTTTTACCTAAAATATCACATTTTTAATCAATTTAAATTGTCATATAATTTTTTGATCGGTATTTTTCATTAATTCAAGTCACAAGCACCAACAAAATAACATAAAATTACTGATAGCAGGACATTTTAGAAAACTTGTCTGCCAACGCATGCAGATAACTTAATTATCATAATCTATTGTATTTTATTGATGTGTTGTTTTTTATTTGTTATTCTAGGTTTGATTTGTTGCACTCAGGATAGCCGTTTTTGCGACTTTTGATGCATCGTTATCAAGAAATAATACATAAACCTTCCTTGGGAAATGCAGATAAAAATGTCTCCCCTCATCTCCCAATTTTTAAAGATGATTATTTGCTAATATTTCAAAAAAAAATAAATAAAAACAAGTAATATAAAAAAAAACTAAGTCAATTCCTACTTAGGTCAAGAAAGAAAAATTTTATTTTAGTTACTTTTTATCAAACAATTACAATTAATATAAACATGTATGTACATATGACAGAATCACAATATTAAGTGGCAAAATAGAACGCTATTTTCTTTGCGATTTTCCATTTTTCTTTCTATATACAACATCCTATAGAACTTTTTTCTGTTACTATTTATTTATTAATTAAATTTAATTATTCCAATAAAGTAGTGTAGTAAAAAAAGAAACCACATTCACAGAAATTAGGCCATCCCAGATGGTATTCGAACCCACGACCTTTGGATTAGAAGTCCAACGCGCTATCCATTGCGCTACAGGGACACAGCGAACGATTTTCCTTTCTGTATGTGATGTTGGAGTATTATTTTTGTTTGTTACTATTTATTCATTTTTTAATTTAATTAATGATTCAATATTTGAAAAAACTGTATTAACATCAAGTGTCATCCACTACAAGTTTTAAAAAATGCATTTTATATATATATATATATATACATATAGGGAGAGAGTGAACTAAAGTAGGAATTGAATAATGGGGGTAGGTTTCTCAAAATTGTAACAGAAAAAAATATTAATTGCATGAAATAAATAATGGAATAATTCAGGAAGTTTTCTGATTGTTTTTCTGAATCTACTTTTTATTCATTTTCTCATCAAAATATTTTATTAGGTCAGAAACAATTCGGTTAAAAAAATATACAGATAGAATTTTTCTTTTAAAAAGTAGAAATTCAAAACCTTGGATGGTGAATAGTTAAGAGACTAAAAATAACACATTTTTAAAATGCATAACTGCGTCTCAACTTTTATTTTACCAAAATAACTACCCATAAATTTCAAAATCCATAAAATTATTCACAGTCTACGCAATGAATTGTATCTACCTAAAGATCCATAAGATATCGTGACCATAAGCAATGTAGGGATTTTTCCTAGGGATAAAAATCGCAGAAGGAAAAAAAAACCGTTTCCCATTTATAGCTGAATTATCAAGAGGCTGGGTCTGAATCAACAAAACATTCTTATTGGTTGATTCTCTAAAACATAGAATGCTATGAATGGCTGAGGAAAATGACGTGAAAACTTAACTAGTTTTGCTTGACACTATTTTAAATTAGCTTCGAAAATGATGCAACAAGAATGAAGTGAATTAATTACAAAAAAAAAATGAGCCCGTAAGATAGATGTCATTGGTACGTAATATATACACACAAAAATGAGAAATTCGAATGGAGTAATTTTTGAAAAAATATCGTATTGAAAATTTCCAATCGATCAAGTTTTTCTAAGAGTTATGTTGTTTGAAATAATAATATTTAATTCAACTTTCAAAGTGGTTTAATGGCACAATAAAGTAAATTTTGAAATAAGAAATTAAAAATAATAATTGCGAAAGCAAAATAAGATAGTTGCGAATTTATTTGCTAATTGCGGTAATAATTCAGCATTTCAAAATAAATCGAGCGTATGTAAACGGATTGAAAAAGAGAAATACTCTCTACTTATAGTGAAATTACTATAACTGTGAATAAAAATATCGCCTTCGTAATGAAACAATTATTTTTCACGAATGAAAATACTACTTTTGCAATGAAATAATTATTTATATGAATGAAAATACCATTTACGCAAATGAATTTTGTGAGTGAGTGCGCATCCGATAAAATACATTGCGAAACTAGAAATGTCTTGTGCATAAAAATTAAATCGAGAAAAACAATGGCTTTAGTTTAAAAAAGAAAATAACCGCTTATCAGACATCTTGATACATTGCAGAAATTACTTTTTATGCAAAATATACAAGACTTTAAAAGTTTTCAGTTCATACATTTTGTAATTTTTTTTTTTTTTTTTTTTTTTGTTATTGTTCCTGTGTTTGACTCCAACAATGCAACATAAAATTCGATGTTCCAACTTATCTAAAGTTTTCGCTTTTTCCAGATGGTCTTCCGATATAAAAAATTTAAAAACATGATATATATATATATATATATATATATATATATATATATATATATATATATATATATATATATACAGGGTATCCGGGTTTAAAGTATCTAAAAGTAATGGCTTATAATTACGAAACTACTTATCAGAATGTAATAAACTGTTCATCCATGGATTGGAAAACTCTCCGAAATTTTTCGGGTCTAGTCCGATCGGCCGCATGCGCCCGCATTATTCGGCAATCACAGACGATAAACTTTTTACATTATTTTCATTGTAAAGATGTGGACCACACAGTAAAAGGTGCAATGCGTACTTTGGTCAAAGGATCTTTGGCAGTGAGTACTTTGGTGCGTTCGGTTACGCGTGTACAGCGATGCGTTCGAACAGAATGGAATGTCGACCTTCCGACATCAAAATCTATCCACCAATGGGACAGAACTTTAAAGGAAACGAGAACTTTGGTATTTCAAATTAGCAAGTATCCTTAAATTTACGTGATAGAAGATACAGCTGATCGTGTGCGTGATTCATTTTGTAGGAGTCCTGGTAAGTCTATTAGGCAAGCCAGTAACGACAGTCCATTCTGTTCGAACACGTCGCTGTACACGCGTGACTGATTTAAATTCCGTTAACCAAAGAAAGCACTGCATCTTTTGCTGTAGCGTCCACATCTTTACTAATGAAGTCAGTGTAAGAAGTTGATCGTCTGCGATTGCCGAATAATGCGCGCACGTGTGGCCGATCGGACTAGACCCAAAAAATGTGTGAGGGGTTTCAAATCCATGGATGAACAGATTAGCTTCGTAATAATAAGCCATTACTTTTGGATACTTTTCGCCCTCGCGGATACCCTGTATATAATAATTCCCATTAATTTAATCGTGAGATATTTTAATCCATAATGGTCTTAGAGTTCTCCAGGACTTCGCGTGATAATTAGTTTCTAGTTCACCCCCCTAACGGGATATATCCATAACCTTATCACCCCCAAAATAAAAATTCAGCATTTTTAAAGTAAGGATGATTCAATCTCGCATCATCCAAGTATCTGGACCAATCAGAAAAGCCTGCAACAGAAATCATATGATTTTAATAGCTTCCGGTTGGTCATAACTATAAAGAGCTTGAGATTTGCGGAGAAACAAAATGTTTTTGTCCTTTGTATTGCTTGCACATATTTTTGTTCGTGTCGTTCTGTAGTGTTTGTGATAGTCAAATTAATTTAATTTATAATAGCAACATGTTGCCTCCTCAATCCATATCACGACTCCAAGAAACCAATTAATTGATCGCAACAAAATGTCCTCATTAAAACCCGGAATCACTACATATATGATTTGATTTTAATTTACGTCGCAATTTGAAGCAACACGATTTAAGATTTAAAAAAAGAGCTAAAAAAGGTTCTTCCACATTAATAAGTAGTTTAGTAGAATCATAAAATAACTGAATTAATAATCTTGATCGAAATATATGTTCCAATAGAATTTTTTCATTGAGAGAAATTTAGTGATCTAGTCTAGGATGGCACATCGTTCAGTTTTCCCTCGAGTCCTTTCAGGGTCTGTAAAAAAAGAAAATCTTAACATCAAACGAGATATCTCCGCGACCCTCTAGAAAGGTGATGAGGACCCCCGGGCGTCCACGGGTCACAGTTTGAGAACCACTACCTGAAAACGTTCTTGGTTTTAAATGGATAATTTTCCACACACTGCTATAACTAAGATCAGTCTCGTCAGTGGCGTAAAGGAGATGATTAGCCCCCACGCAAAGGCAGGTTTTGGGCCCTCTAGATCCCTGGGCCCCTCGCAACGCGGGGATTACGGGGGTGTACGTTACGCCACTGAGTCTCATTCATGACCATTTGGAAGGTTGAGCTTCAATATAATGCAGTGTTCCTCAAATTTTCAATATTTCCGATCCAATATTCAATCATAATTTTCCTCGCGACCCTTCCATACAATAACAATGCATTAAATTCAATAATTAAATACGTTGACGCTAAAACTACAATACAACTTTAACCACTTAAGTGCCACCGGCATATATAAACGTCTCACGCGCAGCCAGTGCATTAATTGCCCTGGACGTATATATACTTCTTTCCGAAGTACGATCTTTCATGTGCGCTGCTGTCCAAAAAATTATTCCGAAGGCTTTAGAATGCAATAAAAGGACCTTGACAGAGTTAGTGACATATTTACTTTTTTCAGAGAATTTGCTTATTTATTTCTTTTCTACCCCCCCCACATACGCTCGCCTATTTGTTCAATACGGTGGCATTGGGGAGCAAATCCCTTAAATTTTAATTGGTATTTAAGGGACTATTAATAAACTAATTTTGTATGTGACATACCCATGGGGTCACTGGAAATAAAAAAAACTTGTTCTTAACTGTAACACACGGTTTAATTCTAAGACCGAAATGTAGATGGCGCTGCATGTAACGGAAGTGTTACCAAACGAAACACTGTATTACCGTCAGAGAAAGTTTGGAACTGAATGAGTGAGCGTTACCCGTCTCGCTGTCCAATCCTGGACTATGTAATTTCCCTATAATTTTCACTTATTTCCTCTAAATGTTTACCCTGTATTGTGTTTGAGTGTCTGTCCATTGTAACGGTGTTATTTTATACCATTAAAATATTTTAATAACCCCGAGATCTTGTCAATTACTTTGGTTTACCCAGCTATGACGTAAGAGACCGTTACATAACATAATTCTAATTTAATCATTGCGCAGTACTGATATATAATATTTATAAATGTATTACATCAGAGTTCATATGTGTATTTCATTTTGTATTATATCAGAATACATTTTATTTGTTTGTTTTGAGTAAATTACTATTTTTTTAAATAATGCTTTGTTTTCGACTTTACAATATGATCGCGCCCCCTCATAGGGTTACCACCCCCCCTAGGGAGGTGCTCCCCACAGTTTGAGAAACGCTGATCTAATGGAATAAAATCACCCAATAAATGGCAGCAAATAATGGTCTTTCACTTTTTGCATCGCGAATCAGCACATTACAAGCTGCAATTTACATAAGGATGAGGATATATGAATATAAGAATCAGTAGATATGCAAAATGAATTTTATCTACATATCTCGGTAATTTCGGTAATAATTAAAACTTTATAATACCACTATGTATGTATACGTATGTGTATACTAGAGTAGATTGCGGTTTGATGGAGGGGAAAAAATTATTATTCATCGGAACTTACCTGTGCGGGTAAGATATTCGAAAAAATCTAAATTCAAAATTTAATAATGCCACAAAGGGGTTGAATTTTCAAAAAAAAAATAGAATAAAGACTTAATTTTTGTTAGATTATTCTAGACTCAAAATAAAATTATTTT